AAACAATTTCACATAGTTAGCCATGGAAACAAGTTTAATCGTTTTTGCTTTCATAAATGTGAGGCTGTCACATCCAAACTTTGTAAATTAAAATAAACAAAAACTGTAAATATAAATTTTTCAAATGAAGAAAAGCGTGTAGGATTATTGGTTCAACTTTTCTTGACCATACATTTTCGAGTATACGTTGACCGATGAATGTTACGTTTTTTAGAGAACGGTTTTCAAGACATGTTAGGAAAGTTAAATTTAGTTATAGCTAATTCTTATCTTTCTTGACTAATTCCTATGAACACCCTGTATAATATGTGAATAATCTTTGTAAAAATTTAAGTTATGATTTATAACTTATAAAAAGTCAGAATATATTACTAAACGGTTCTTTACAATTTACATTACACAAACTAAAGCTTAAAAAAATAAAAAATGTCTATACCTATGTGTTGGATTCATCTATCCAAAAAAATCCTTATGGGGTTTTCGCCACTGCACTGCAAGAAAAATCTACAAAATAAAATAGTTATTTTTTGTAAACACTTCTGCGTTAAACCTAAACGGACGCTGCTTGTCAGAAGTTGTGTTTACAGTAATAAAAATTTAACTAACAAAGAAAAAAAATGCTTAACGTTTCGGAAAGTTTTCTCTTTTCGTCGTCGGAAGCAAAAAAATATAAAGAATCAAGAAAAAAAAACTATTTAAAATATTTAAATTGAACTATTCAAATGAAGAAAACTTATTATTATTACTTATTTAAATTAATTAAATAATGAATTTTTTCAACAAGATTTCTCTCCTTTGTTAAGTAATATTTTTATGGAAGGTTTTGAAAATAATACAATAAATAGTTTTTCAAAAAAGCCTGTAATATGGCTGCGTTATGTTGATGATATTTATATATAATATATAAATTCTCGCGAACCTACCATAAAATTTACTTTAGAAGTAGAGAGAGGTAATCGTTTGCCATTTCTTGATGTTTTAGTGTCAAAATTTCAAAATAAACTAATTTTAGATGTTTACAGAAAACCCACAAATACAGATAGATACTTAAATTTCACATCTAATCACAGTATAAGTGTAAAAAAAGTTTATATGATAGGGCAAAAATAATATGTACAGACGACATTTCACTAAACAAAGATATAAACCACATAAAAAATACATTAATAAAAAACGACTATCCACCATATTTTATTGACAAAACATTAAACGAAATACAAACCCCAAATCATAGACACAAAGATAACAATACACAATATATAGAACTTACAATTCCATACATACGAGGCGTTTCGGAAAAAATAAGAAGGATAGGAAAACAATATAACACACAAACATCTTTCAAAACACAAAATACACTTAGATCAATTTTATCACATACTAAACCAATGAATACAGAACAACAAACAAAAAATGTAATATACCAAATACCCTGTGAATGCGATAAATTTTACATTGGTGAAACATCTAGACCCCTTAAATGTTAGAGTATTTAAGAAAGGGAGATTTTTACAAATCTAAGATTTGTCAGCATTCATGGGACACAGAGCACAGAATAAATTTTAATAACGCCAAAATTATCATGAAAGAAGCGAGAGCCTCTAAAAGAAAAATAAAAGAGGCTTTTTTAATTCAATCTAATAAAAATAAATGTATTGCTCATGCATCTGTAGATGTTAGTAATGTATGGCAATCGCTTCTTTGATTTTAAAGAACATTACATAAATAAACATAACATACGTGAAATTTAAAAATAATCATACAGAAAGTTTGGGCTTTTTGGTTTTACCTTATTAAGTAATTATCAGGTAGTAATTGCTAATTTTGAAGTTTAACTTAATATAATGTCATTTTAACAGAACGTCAACGATTTCTTGTAGACGTATCTGTTTTAAAAAGTAAAGTGTTCTCGAATAGTTCGATTTAAATATTTTAAATAGTTTTTTTTTTCTTGATTCTTTATATTTTTTTTGCTTCCGACGACGGAAAGAGAAAACTTTCCGAAACGTTAAGCATTTTTTTTTCTTTGTTAGGCAAATTTTTATTACTGTAAACACAACTTCTGACAAGCAGCGTCCGTTTAGGTTTAACGCAGAAGTGTTTACAAAAAATAACTATTTTATTTTGTAGATTTTTCTTGCAGTGCAGTGGCGAAAAACCCATAAGGATTTTTTTGGTTAAAAAAATAATATCACTACTAAGTTATTTTAGAAAATGTTCAAAAAATCCGCCATTGATTTGAGTTGCATCTTTTTAAAACTGAATTACTACCTATTCTCACAGAAGGACCGGTCAACTTAATTAAACTTTTCTCGTACCGCCACTTCGAGTGCCTCTCTTAATTCATAAGTTCTTTTGCAAACCCTTATTCTTAACCATAGATTTAGTAAGAACAGATATCACATTAGACATTTTAACCCGATCAAACAATCGGAGGTTGACTACGTACTGTAAAAACCAACTGAGATAGAGAAGGCGACATTGCCGCATCTCAAATTTGCGCCTATCTACTCAGTTTGATTTGCAGAAAAAGGTGACTTTAAAACCTTTACCGGATATCAATAAATCTCAATTTCTTAATTAAATTAATAGTTTATTTTTAAAGAAGCATGCGTAATAATATGTTATTAACCAGAGGATATATGCGTTACTATTAAAGGACATGTTTACTGTTTAATGTGCTGAAACGTCTAGAACTATTGGCAACGTCGCTGCTAGTCTTCCAGAATGAAATGAGCCGTCCGTCCCACCATCCCTCGCGACGGCCCATGGTCCGTTATAGCGTACTACGTTTAGCTTGCGGTGTGTTTGAAGTCGGAATCAAGACGAAAGTGAACTTTCAGTGTTTTTCTGTGGTTTTTGTTTTTGTTTAACGTACTTTTGAATCTGCGAATTCAGTATGGTACAACAGTGCTAAGTGTGTGGAAAAATAAGCTCAAATTACCCGAATTTGTCTTTTCACAGGTGGGTATTGTTTTCGTCATTGTACATAGGCGTCCCACAAGGGAGCCTCTCACAATCAAAATAATTTCCAATTATATTTGTAATTAATCTATTAAAACAAGAACGTAGTAGCCAGTAATTGAATTATAATTCGTCTCAATGACTACCTAACTGTTGTAGATCATAACAAATTTGAATATAAACGTTGCATTTGAAATTTTATTATAAGCCAGAAAGTGACATTTTTTCTTTAAAATTGCGTCATTTCTGGTCATTATATACGATATTCTAAAGGAATTTTTGCTCAACAAATAAACAAAGGTGTTACCCGACCTTTTTTACATTTTATTGCTTTATTATATCTGCCACTTCGGCCTTATTTAGACAATTTTTTACCACTGTACAAATACCTCTTCCTAGAGTTATTTGTACGGTGTGTTTACCTTTTTTTTAGAATGGGACGAACTGTAAATAATTCTTAGGCTACTAGTTTTATACATACCTATATAACAGAGTGACCCAGGCCTCCAAAAAACTTTTTACCTATTACTACGCTTACCTATTACTCGCAAAATCTAGGATTTTCCATTCATCCTCGAAATACGTTGTACGGTTGTACTACGCAGGCATATTTCTAAAACTAACGTTGCCAAACTGCTTTTTATTATTAAAAGAAACACGACGATGATATTTGCCTATTCTAAACAAGAAAAATTTATTTATAAGTTTTATAACATCTCTAATTAAATTTGGACGAAAAGAATATTTCTGTTTGCTGTAGGTAATTTTCTCAGGGAAAATACGAAAATAAAAATGACTTTTTAAGTCAAAAAAAGTCAAAAGGATAAGTTATTCCAAAAAAGGACTGTCCTTTCAAAAAAGGACAGGTGGCAACCCTAGGTATTTCTGGAATGGAAATTTAATGGCAAATCTACAACCTTAGTTTGAAAATATGTTCCGGCCACCTATGTTTACAAAAATGTATAAAATGTGCTTTATCATTACCTCCATATTCTGAAAATAAAATTGAAAGAAAAGTCACCAACCACAAACCTAATATAGAACTGTTTCGGAAGCCTGAGTCACCCTGTAAATATTCAAAAGTAACTGAAAGTTTATATAGAATTAACTGAAAGTTTAAATTGAAAATCGACGTTGGAGTGATTTTCGAAAACTACCTACTAATGTTTCATCATAAGTATATGTGGGATATTAATTATATTATTATATTAGACCTTATAATAAAACTTACCTGACGAAAAAGTGTTAATGTAGTATATTAATATGGAGTAAACATTTTACTAATTACTTTACTTTTACTTTATTAATTAAATTCGTTCCAAAAAACGATACGCCACTGGCCATTAGAACAATCGAAATGCCCCTAGTTGCCGGGGTCGGAAATTTTAGACTTCTCTGTCTCTTCTGTCCTTGTTTGACACATTGGAATGTTTGATACACTACCAACGAGTATTTATGAATGAGATGTTCGGTCTATCTTTATAATGTCTTTGTTCTTAACCATACCGCATAAAAAATTCTAAAATGGATAGGTCAGTTGATCGAGGAGGCTCATGCAATTAGTCCACCTCTTCCTATCCCTTCGTTTGCATAATTATGATATAAATAATTTTTAACATTTCTTTCATTATGGGGGGTGGGGGGTAGTGTGTCATAATGAAAGTCATGTTGGAACCACTCTATTGATGCGCGAGTATCTACACGCTTTTCTTCATTTGAAAAATTCATATTTACAATTTTTGTTTATCTATTAACTTTTATCTGAAAACTTTCTATCTAAAATAGCTTATAATGGAATTAGGGACAGTTTTTAAAATAGCCGAAATTTGTTTTTTTTTCGAAATATCTAGTAAGCCATGAACTTTTCCAAAAATCTGAAAGGCGCATATTTATGACCCCACAAAACTGCAATTCTTTCCCCATTTAACCGACTCTCTATCTCCAGTAGTTTCCGAGATACCCATAGAGAACCTCGTAGGAAACTCACCCTGTATAAGCGATACCAAATAAATATAGCCTGAGTGAATAAAATATCACAATTTATTAATTCTTTATTTTGCTCAACAATACAAACATTAACAACATACATTGCTGTTTATTCAACGACCACTTGGAAGCTTTTTTGTTTATAAATATCAATACATTAAATGTCTTGCTAGGGCCATATTTACGGTTATCTTTAAAAAACCGTATCAAAACACAAAAATAGGCAATTTTTTAAAACACATTTTTGACTACAAAAACATCTTTTTTAATCTTTGGACAGGTAGGTAACTTTTTGGTAGTTACGGCCCTACAATTTTAGATATATTCCATATAAACTGCTTGCTATAATCTCAAAATACGTAAAATTAAGTCAACTTGCCATAAAAAAATGTATAAAAATAAGAACAGGTATAAACCTGTATAAAAAGAGAGTGATATTATTTATAAATATTAATTTTACATATAATAATTTGACACAAATCAGGAGATATTTTATTCTGTATATCTGTTTGTTTATGTATTTTACTCAATTTCTTCATCACTGAATTCTAAGATCTAGAAATAATAACACATAATTAATAATTTAAAAAGGAATAATCTAAAGCTATAAAAATAAGAACTACAAACCACGATAAATATAACTTAAAATACATCAACCTAAGACGTTTACGGCTGTATTTCACAGTCTTTAATTACAGAAAAATATTTTTTGTTACTCTGAATTTTGAAGCGACCAATAAAAACAGAGAAATATATAAAGCCCCTAATCACATGTTTCATTCATTTCAAGCTTGACGATTTGTCCACCAGCTGGCAGCACCTTTTGTCCTACCGGTTGAGTAACTTTCAAGGATATAACTTAATAAATTAGTTCTAATAATTCTATAGTAGGCGTTACTGCAACTAAAATTTAAATAGTTATTTTTTATACAAGACGATAAAATCGTATTTTATCGTCGATCGAAAAGATTAACTCACGAGCCATGAAATCGCGAGTGCAATTTTATCGTCGTGTATATAACAATATTTTTTTCCATAGCAAGTTACGTTGTGAAAAATATTCAGAAATTATTATTTCAAGAAATTTGTTAAGAGTAGAAAAAATATTGTGCTGGGTTGGCGTTGGTTTCTATGTAATTTGACAAATAAATAAAGCTGTCTCTTTAGTTGTCACTTTTGAGCCCATATTTTTTAATTCTCTTTCGTGTCGATTGCTGATTGAATTGGAGACAGAAACGGCTCAAAACGAAATAAGTAAATTACCAACAGATATTCAGGCTGAGGCGACAAACGCCATATCCAAACTGCTTCCATTTAAATCCCGAATAACTTATGAAAAGGAATACAAAATTTTCAAAAATGGAAGCAATTAAAACTCGTGCGAGAAGAAATAAAGTTTTTAACCTATCCTCGCTGTTAAAGTATCATTTAATCTACCCTTGAGGTTAAAGTACTATTTTATCTACTATTTTTGATAGATACTTTGAATAAGAAGACTAAGGAAGGAGCATATCACAAATCTTAGGTCCACCGCGATGAGCCTCAAATATGGCCGACTTAAATTCCGGTTTATCAGTGCAGTTCTAATTTTATTTAAAAAATGTAAAACTATGATGTAGGGTAGACGTGGGGTAGACCCAATAATTTTATTTCTTATTTTACTTTGTGAATAAATGTTGGTAGTTATTAAATAACCAAGGCTAACCAAATTGTGCCTAATGACAAAACTTCATTGATTACGCGTCGAAAAATAGTATATATTTAAAAAAATTATATTTTCGTAGAACCTGAAAAATCCGCAAATTATATTTCAGAAATTGCTTTAAAATAATCCACACTAACGAATAAGCTACTAGACAGCGTTCAATTTTTGTTGCACTAAAGTGCTGGTGATACGGTGATAGTTTACCGTTTTAAGTCTCTCCACAACGTCAACTTTATTTCAGAAGAAAATCATATAAAATAATTTTATTGACAACGTCGCAAATCCTATGCGAAGGCCATAGATGACATACCGATGACCGATGATCGATTAACTGTCAATCGAAAAAGTCATAAAATTGCTGGCTTGAGATGATGTAAATAAATATATTTTCTTAATTTTTATGCTTACAAAGAAGATTCGTTACATTTTTGTGCTTAAATTAGGTCATTCCACGTCTATATAAGGTAATAAAGTGCTAATATGTGATGTTTTTACTGAATCCGTGTAGAAAATTTTACATATTTACTGTCCGTCGCCTGTACCTAAAATACGTTTTTTTGCCGCTTTTTAAAAATAAAACACATTCATCCAACAATTTTTTTGCTTAAAAATGTTCAATTTAAGATAATCTTGCAAAACCATTCAAAAAAAGGTGTTAAATGCGTGGGGACCTATTGTGCACCAGAGCCTAAAAATATATTATTATAATAAAAATAGATAATTTTTAATAATTATTTATTAACACAAACATCCGATACGCTACTGAAGCAGGTAAGTCAAATTGACGTATCTAAATTCTTTGACAAGTAGTAAATAAAAGCAAAAATGCAAGAAAAAATATATAATTAGTTAATTTCAGTGAATTTCATAAATGATCGGTTTACTACACGTATGTATATTATATAGTCACTTACTAGTGAAAAGTTGTTCCATTATTTCACTCGATTTTTGCCGAGATCTACCGCACGCTACACAACCAACTATTTTAGAGTATTTTTCGATAAATCGCGATAGTGTCACTGTTAATTTAAGTTCTGCCACAATTTCCATCTAGATTTACTACCTTTATACAACTAGCAGTAGTAGAATAAATAATAAATAACATAAAATAAGCTCCGTAAAGATTGACAAATCCACAAAATTTCAAATCAAATTCAAATGTGTCATATAGTCTGTAAAATGAATAACTTTGAATTTTGACCGTTATTTTTTACCAACATGGCAAATATAAAATCCCCCTGTCAAAAAAGTTACTGATATTCTTTAAATCGTGTACTTAATTTCGTGAAATAGAAAAGGAAAATAATAAAATAAGTGACAGTTCTTCCTTTTCTTGCAAAAATCAACACAAAATGTAATAACTGTCAAAAGTAAAATGTCATCAGCTTTTGACATTTCTAAATATCAGACCAATGCCGTCTCTAATAGAACAGCCTCGGAGCGAGATTTATGACGTCACGCTAGTTAGATACTACGGATTAATAAATATGTTGTAGAATATATGGAAAACATAATTATTCCTCGTATTTTTGGTTTGTATTTTAAAAATGATATAGTTTACATGAAATATACATAATATACAGTTAATAAATACAATATATATATACCTATTTATATAATAAATAACCTTGGCAAATAAACTATAAACCATACAAATGCAGCAAATGTTTTACAATATACAAATAATGAATAGGTACATAAGATAATGGGTAAAATGTAAAATATATTTTAAATTTTGGGGTTTGAAAATCGATCTAATTTAACAAAAAACATTCAATATCTACTAATAGTGATATATTATTATTTGCATTCACAAAATTTATATGTATATTTTGCAAGTATCAATGTTCGAAAAATGATATTTGCAAATAATACAATATCATAGAAAAAAGGCGTCAGCGATGGCTATAAAATAAAGATCGCTGTCATTTTATATGTAAAAATTATTCTAAAATTTTTGATTTTCTTGGGATTTAGGTTGGGATGGAGTACGATTTCAGCCATAGTCAATGTAGATAGTTTTAGTGTTAAGAATAATAATTTTAAAAATAAACAAAATATTAAAAATAAACAAAAACAATAAATTATTATTAAAAAGTTATTAACTGTATATTATGTATATTTCATGTAAACTATATCATTTTTAAAATACAAACCAAAAATACGAGGAATAATTATGTTTTCCATATATTCTACAACATATTTATTAATCCGTAGTATCTAACTAGCGTGACGTCATAAATCTCGCTGCGAGACTGTTCTATTAGAGACGGCATTGCGTCAGCATGGTTGTTAACCTAATAAAACTAACACTAGAAAAGCGCGCGGGAACTGTCAAATTCAAAGTTATTCGTTTCACAGACTATATGAATCGTCAAACAGAACTGTCAAGGATCCCCACCCTAGAGTGCTTTTTCCGCCCACCATGCATGAATACATGGATAGCATTATGCTCCTTCCTTAGTCTTCTTATTCAAAGGATAGATATAAGGCAATTTTAACAGTTGCTATGGAAAAAAATAAATAGGTTGTCATCTGTCATGAGTTGAAAGATACGTTGTTTTTTGTCATATTTTAGATATCAAAATCGTATACTCCCTCGTTAGACTAGAGCTTAACTATAGTTTTTTATAAAAATAAATTAAAATGAATAATGAAACCTACCTCGTCCATATCGAAATCAGCCAACATTTCGGTGAGTTTAGTGACATCTTCTAGATGTTTTGAGCTGTCAAAAACTTTCAGCAAGAAGTCGATTCCTTTTTCTTTGTATTCGTTTAGAATGACATCTGAACAGGCCACGCACTTATCGTATTTCATGGTCGCCGGCAGCATTTGATTGAAAGACGACAAAAATCCCCTGATTGAATGTGGAATCAGGCCCAAAATGCACTGGTTTTCTATTTCTGGATCTAGATCTTCGGCTTTGGAAGAGATTTTGTAGAAAGCTGGCGCCTTTATCCTATAAAAAATAAAGAAGAAAAAATGATAATATAAAAACGTTCACAAAAAAATCTAACTAACCTTTTCTCGTGCTGCAAAATAGAAACAGCAAGCTCCACTGCCAGAGCTCCAGCAATCTGAGCAACGCCAGGTCTAGTAACTGTGCATTGCTGATCCAGAGTCCTGTTTTTCATTGACTGCAATATAAAACACGAATATTTAACTTTAATCTCCAAAAGCATTAATGACATGAACAATAATAATTAATGTAAATGTTTTATGTTAGGTTCGTTACAGAAACTTGCTGGTAATATCGCTAAATACAAATGTGTTCTGTTTAATTTATGCTGTAGGATAATGTCTGTACATTAATGTCTCCTTTTTGCTTCCAGTGCTAATTTGGACAGGCTCAAAATATGGTATCTGAGCAATTTTTTTGTAAATTTGAGTTTCAAAAATTCCATAGATTTTTTTTAAATACATTGTTTTTTTAAGTATCTGTTTATTAACTGTACTATAGTCTGTGAAACGAATAACTTTGAATTTGACAGTTCCCGCGGGCTTTTCTAGTGATAATTTTATTAGGTTAGCACTTTGGTTAGCAACTTTAAATAAGAAGACTAAGGAAGGAGCATAATGCTATCCATGTATTCATGCATGGTGGGCGGAAAAGCCACCATAAAAGCTCTCTAGGGTGGGGATCCTTGACAGTTCTGTTTGACGATTCATTTGACACATTTGAATTTGATTTGAAATTTTGTGGATTTGTCAGTCTTTACAGAGCTTATTTTATGTTATTTATTATTTATTCTACTACTGATAGTTGTATAAAGGTAGTAAATCTAGATGGAAATTGTGGCAGAACTTAAATTAACAGTGACACTATCGCGATTTATCGAAAAGACTCTAAAATAGTTGGTTGTGTAGCGTGCGGTAGATCTCGGCAAAAATTGAGTGAAATAATGGAACAACTTTTCGCTAGTAAGTGACTATATAATACACATACGTGTAGTAAACCGATCATTTATGAAATTCACTTAAATTAACTAAATTATATATTTTTCTTGCATTTTAGCTTTTATTTATTACTTGTCAAAGATTAGATGTCAAAGAATTTAGATACGTTAATTTGACTTACCTGCTTCAGTAGCGTATCGGATGTTTGTGGTAATAAATACTTATTATAACTTATCTATTTTTATTAGAATTATATATTTTTATAACAATTTTAATAACTACCAACATTTATTCACAACGTAAAATAAAACAACAAATTATTGAGTCTACCCCACGTCTACCGTACATCATAGTTTTACATTTTTTAAATAAAATTAGAACGACACTGATAAACCGGAATTTAAGTCGGCCATATTTGAGGCCCATCGCGGTGTACCCAAGATTTTTGATATGCTCCTTCCTTAGTCTTCTTATTCAAAGGTTAGCAACTTGCGGCCATGCTGACGCAATGCTGTCTCTAATAGAACAGCCTCGGGGCGAGATTTATGACGTCACGCTAACATAATTATTCCTTATATTTGACTATGGCTGAAATCGTACTCCATAGTCAATGTAGATAGTTTTAGTGTTAAGAATAATAATTTTAAAAAATATGTGGTCATCTTTTGACAAGTGTATATTAGTTTATTAATTGCAGTAAACATTATGTGGTGTGTGGTGTGAATATTTTATATGCAATTTTTTGAATTATATTCGACACTATTTTTTATATGACACAACACTGATGAAGGCTATAATGTTAGCCGAAACGTTTTTTTTAACCAAAAAAATAATGAAAAACAAAATGAAAACTTAATCAGCGTTTTTCCCGAACCTAAATTCCAAGAAAATCAAAAATTTTATAGAATAATTTTACATTATAAAATGACAGCTATCTTTATTTCATAGCCATCGCTGACGCATTTTTTTCTATGATATTGTATTATTTGCAAATATAATTTTTAATGATACTTGCAAAATATATGTACATATAAATTTTGTGAATGCAAATAATAATACATCACTATTAGTATATATTGAATGTTTTTTGTTAAATTAGATCGATTTTCAAGCCCCAAAATTTAAAATATATTTTACATTTTACACATTATCTTATGTACCTATTCATTATATGTATATTGTAAAACATTTGCTGCATTTGTATGGTTCATAGTTTATTTGCCAAAGTATTTATTACTATAAATAGGTATATATTATATTTATTAACTGTATATTATGTATATTTCATGTAAACTATATCATTTTTAAAATACAAACCAAAAATACGAGGAATAATTATGTTTTCCATGTATTCTACAACATATTTATTAATCCGTATCTAATTAGCGTGACGTCATAAATCTCGCTCCGAGGCTGTTCTATTACAGACGGAATTGGTCTGATATTTAGAAATGTCAAAAGCTGATGACATTTTACTTTTGACAATTATGCCATTTCCTGTTGATTTTTGCAAGAAGAGGAAGAACTGTCACTTGTTTTATCATTTTCCTTTTCTATTTCACGAAAGTAAAAAGAGTTACCTATCTGATTCGTTCAGGCACTCAATTTAAAGAATACTTAAAGAATATCTGTAACTTTTTTGACAGAGGGATTTTATATTTGCCGTGTTGGTAAAAAATAACGGTCAAAATTCAAAGTTATTCATTTTATAGACTATACTAGAAAAGTAATGTAGTAGTACGAGAGCTAGCAACGTCGGAAAAACAAGTATTTTAAGACGTCTGGCTCTTTGATACCGTGCTGGCAACTGTTACTTTTGGGTCGGCATTTACATGTGACGAAGTCATATACATGTGGAAGTAAATCGCATAAGGATCTTATCAACTCGGAGTGAGAGGAATGCGACCGACCGACGCGACGCGCGACGATGTGCTGCTGCGGCGTTGCGGATACGCCTTTCCCTGTCAAGTAAAGTAAAATCACGATCGCAAAGCGCTTATTTTTAAAAGACTTTTTTTCAAGAGATAACTAGATAAAATCATTAGACATGTTTCTGAGCATCTGAAATGGAATTATAAGGATATCGTTAGGGTGCCATTTTTTTATAACGTTAAAACGTCAGTAATCGCGATAATTTAAAAATTCAACTTTTTAACACATAACACGCCATAACTCAAGAAACAGTTTAGATATTGAAACTTTTTTTTGTTTTCAAGATCGGATATTTTACAATATGTTTACATAAGAAAAATTCGATGTTTCTTTTTTCCATTCAAAAATTGTAAACAATCCATCCATTTACTTTTAGAGGATAGCAATTTTCGGCAATCGTGTAATTTTTTTATTGATAAAGATTTTCACATACTGTCTACAAAGAAAATACAGCAGAAATATTAACAAAGTTCTTGAAAAAACTACAATCTATTATTTCTAATAGAATTCGAGATATCGATTTTTGAATTCAGAGTTCTAATAGCGCGACCACTATCGAACACCCACTCAATTCCACTTATTTTTACCAAAAATGCAAGTGTTTCTAGCTTGCCTTAAAAAAATTCAAGCTATAGGGAAAATTACAACGACTCGTTAATAAATAAACAAATTAAGTATCACGACCCAAGTAGCATTTGGACGTTATCTAACGTCGGGCATACGTCGCGTTCAATAAACCCGACGTCGGGTACCAACGTCGGTTCGACCGCCTGACGACCCTTATTTGCACCTAAATGGGGAATACAGATTCGGGTCGCCTCGACGTCGGTATCTGACCTAATAGGGAATGTAATTCTACCAATTACCAACGGCATATTACGTTGGATTTTAGTTACTTAAAATTCGTCGCTAAGCACTTACGTTACGTTTGGTTTCATATTCGCTACCAATAATACATAAAAACCTAACCAAACTACCTAATTACAAATGGATTCATAATCACTCCTCGAATATAACTATAAGTGCCTATCTAATTCCATATTATAATAATTCTGAATTATTAATCCAGACATCAGTTTTGTCAACGGAAGTCACTTTTTTTATATATCTGATTAAAATACTCCGGAAAACAACGAGCGCCTTCAAAATTAGGTAGATTTATGAAATAAAAATGTCTATAAAAAAGTAACTTGCAAAACATTTTTTTAATTTTCTAGCTGGTTTAATGATAAAACTGTACTGTGGTTCCCCCCCCCCAACTCAACCTTATCAATATTATTCTACTAGAAATCGAAATGTGAATATAAATTTTAAAAACAAAAAACGATTATAAATGGCTGACAATCGGATACTTGTTAAGAATGGCGGATTTCTGTGTCCGACTTAATATGAACTACCAATATACCAATTCCGACCGGGTCTCCAACATTAGTCGTCTCACACGACCGAAGTCATCAAACCGGACTACCGGCAATCGTATTATGACGTATATAATTCTAACGTACGCCACGTAACCTCACTTTGCGTATCAGTGATTTGTGGATTTGTGCAGCTATATTTTAGTTTTTGTTTCCTCCTTAAAAAACATGGGCAGCCACTTTTTTAAGCCTAACCTCACATGTGGGAGGAGGATGGGGTCTGCTGGTTTCCTAAGCTAAAAAATGAAATTAAGATGCACCAGTGTAATGCAGCATCTCTTCCGGATAAAAAGCATTTATGGGTGGAGGCAAGACATCACTACTACTATTATTATTTTGCAAAAGCCTCGACCTCTTTCTGTAAAATGTAGATGAATGTCTAAATGCCTTTTTAGTGTTTTTTAGGCATAATAAAAAAATTAAGTTTTTTACAAAAACTTTTTATTAGGTTATGTTCATGATGTTCATTAGGTCGCAAATGCTACTTAATGGGTTGTATTTACTGACGTAAATAGAGATACGTAAAAGTCTTTGCCCTGACCCTGATTCGAACTCTGAATCATCGGTTCGTTAGTTTTCACTAGGTGGTGTTTGTTTCTTTTTAGGTGATAGCCGCTCTCCGGGAGCCGGCTGTTCTTTGGAATTTTGGGTGGGGAGGCAACGTTGTGGTCTGCGACCGTTGTTGATTGGCCGTGGCGACGGATGGGTTCTAGCGGACTTGCTGTCCTTGTCTTCTACGTCATTGTTTGCAATTGCCGGGTCGGCTGTGTATTTCACCAGCCCGACGTCGCGCACAAAAACTTGTTATTTTTTGGAGTTGTTTACACTATTTTATGCGTATTCGATAGTTTTTTCACACACGATTTGCTCTGACTGACACGGTTTTTTACACGATGTGCACCGTATGAAGCCTCGGCGATCACTGGTTCGTGGTCGGAAACTCTACGCACTGCGCTATGGAGACATGTTCGATTTACATTCAATACTAGAATTTATAGGACTCAATAAAAAATGTAGGATCTTCTTCCGATGCGCAGTAGTGAAGGCAACGGGTATCGGCAGCCAAACGGGCCGCATGCTGTTCCAGAGAGCATAGTAAAAGATATATCAAAGAGCCAGACGTCTTAAAATACTTTCCCGAAAACGTTGCTAGCTCTTAGACTATAGTGATTGATAAATTTACTTACATCTCCTGGTGCGGTGACGTCATTACAGAAATAACATCCTAAATTGTCACCGTCGATTATTTTGTAACCCTCGATGTCCTGAACTAGTTCTGGGTTATTCGAAGTATCACTTGAACAACCGTGTCTCATCACTAGATAACTATCGAAACCTAAAGCGGAGTTAATAACAATCTGAAACAGTGTTACATTAACAAAAAATAGGAAACGACACAAACATATATTAGATACCAACTAAACTTTTAGTTAAGTAATAGAGGGCGCGATTTTTAAATTCATTGTTACCAACCAGGGACATATTCGGTGCCGCGCTGACTAACTGGAATTTAAATTTCCCGCTGGGGATTCAGGTGGTAGCTCTGCTATAAAAAATGTCAAGTTGCCACATTTCTTTATTTATTTCCTAACATTATCATTCGTTTTGACACTTTAGTTTTGTATTACGAGTTTTTGGTGAAATGAATTGTGTTGTGATATTTTAAGCTTGAAAATTTTTACTAGCAGACCTTGCAGTCGAACATTGTTCTTTTTAGAACCTCTTTTAGTGCAAAAACCTCATCACAACTTTATTAGAATATTTTGAACGGAAAAGCGGTAATAATGGCACTTTAAATCCCTTAAGTGTTGTTAAGAAGGTAAGTTTTGTTGATGTAAATATTAACTGTTTATATATTTATAATTTCTTTATTTTTGTTTCCTAAAATATTTTGATTAAAAGAAAATATGTAAAAGTGGACAACGCTGTGCTTGTCAAGCTTAATCACGTGACTAAAAGTTTATTTGATATATTATGAACTATATGTCAAAATTTTTAGTGTTTTTCAATGTAAAAAAACTGTTTAAAGTATTTTTAACGTTACAAATTTTTTAGCTTTAACAGTGGTGTACCTAATTTAAGTTTTGAGTAGGTTATATAGTTCCTGGAGAAACCTTTTCTATATCTCTTAATTACTTAAATACGCGAAAAGAACTGTAATATTTGAGAATCAATGATATACTGTCAGTTGCCAAAATTAATCAACATTTTGAGAACTACCGAATACTAAAATAAATCAAAGTTGGTCAAATTAATGATATAGGGTCAGTTGTCAAGATGATTCTATTGCGATAGAGTTCAATTATACAGGGTGGGCCACTGAAATGAAACTTACAATGGCTATAATTTTTAAACCAAAAAAGATATAAAAAAAAATAAAAAATACCGTTTCTATAATATCGAGGGCGAATACATATGGCGTATTTTTTGAACCACCCCGACCTACCCCTTAGGCGGCACACCTTCTCACTTGAAAATCTTAAATGGCAACACCCCACTTGTGGCGCGTTTTTGGAAAGCCCATGAAAAATGCTAAACGATAATCATAAAGTTTTTAGGGTGAAATTGAAAAACTAGCCCTTACTCGAAAAATTAGGTGGACATTAATGAAAAAAGTAATTTTTTCAGCATAAGTTACAAATTGGGACCCAGCTAAATTAGGCAAATGAGGTATTTTTCAAACTACCCCGACCCACCCCTAGGTGCCACCCCCTCACTTCTAAATCTCAAGATAGCGATACCTCACTTGTAACACCTCTTTGGAAAGCGTATAAAAAATGCTGAACGACTGTCATAAAAAAGAACAAAAAAAATGGAGCTAAAAATAAAAAAAAATGTCAAAACGTGTTAAAATCAATAGAATGAATTAATTTTGTATCCATGTACCATTGCGTGTAAAAAAACCTGGTACAAGAAATAAATTTGAAAAATATTGCTTCTAGACTATCAGACAAACTTTGACAAATCAATGACAGCTAATAAAATTTTCACCTGTTTTTTACCTTTCAATTTTACTTGACATTGTTATAATGTAATAGTCTAGGAGATTATAATAAATTTCTTTGTACCAGTTTTTTTTTGTTCGCAATAGTACATGGATACAAAAATAATTTATTCTATTGATTTTGACACGTTTTGACATTTTTTTTTATTTTTAGCTCCATTTTTTTTGTTCTTTTTTATGACAGTCGTTCAGCATTTTTTATACGCTTTCCAAAGAGGCGTCACAAGTGGGGTATCGCTATCTTGAGATTAGAAGTGAGGGGGTAAACATAAGCAACTTTTTTAGAAACAAAATAAAATATCCCTCAATTTCTCCAAAAACTCCCAAAAAAAATTAGAATCAGTCTAGTCTCTTTACGAATAAAAATAATACTTATTTGAAGTGTCCTTATAAGAAATAAAAATAAAGTTCCATCATTACAATGACAATTATATTTGGTGATCGTTGAGATCACTTACTTTTTTGTGATAGCACCCCAATAAGGTAGGGAGCCACCTACTCTCCCTGGAATCAGTGAGCAAAAATATAATATCGTGATCCTTAATTAAATCAGTCAAAACCTGCACAGCTTCTACAGTTTGCTTAAGCATACTCTCTCCAACACTATGCCCAGGCATTGGAATGCAAATATGAACACCTTTGGCATTCTAAAAAAATTGACTACTAATTAAATATAATTTCAGGAAAAAAAAATAAAAAAAGACTTACTACTCCTGGGAATATTTTTTCCAGATTCTTGGGAGCAACCTCACTTTTAGCTTTCATACTCAGAGCATCCTCATAAGTATATAAACTTTGTCTCACTGGATTTGAATGCGATACATATCCGTTATCGGCAAAGGTTATGTTTCTAACTCCCCAACCCTAGAAGAAATATACTAAATAAATAAATAAATTTGTAGACAAAGGCAAAGTAAACAATCAAAAGAGAATACAAAACAAGTATACAAATTACATTGTCAGTCTTATTGTTTAAAATAAACATTTATAAATGTTTACAATGACAAAAGAATAAAAAAATAAGCTTGAAAATGCGGTCAAATTGAGTCGCACAACACGTACCCCAGAATGGAAGGGAATATCTGAGGTGCGACTCCAAAAGTGCATAATAAACAGTTCTAGCCACTGACAAATTAAGCTCCTTAGAAACAGATCTTAATGCAAAACAGGCAGAGTTTAATTTTTTCGACAAAGCGAATTTTTACAGATTTTACGACGTTAATGGTGGTTTTGTTAAGTACAAAAGACTGCAGCGAGTTTTTATACGACAAAGCTTTAGTTTGAGAAATGTTGAGAATCAGGAGGTTCGAATCGCACCAAGATTTAATGGTGATTAAGTCATTTGATATAATCCGATGAAGTGACGTGACGTCCGTACTGAATACTGAATTTTTATTAAAGAAAAGCTGAAGAGCGTACCAATAAACATCGGGCTACGGCACAACCAAGTGTTCCAGCTCCAATCAGTAAACACTTCGCATTTTCGGTCACTTCCAAATTGATATCTGGTACTATCCTCCATTTCATTAGTTTCAAATTTAAGTACACAGAGTTCTCCGCTATTCTAGAAAAATAACGGTAAATACAGGGTGATTCTTAACTTATACGCATAAACTTGGGAAATTATTGCTGATGACAAATAATAATGACTAATAATGAAAAAAAAATGTTAGTAAAATATTTTTAGATTCTGAAATAATTTGAGTTTTTTTTTCACAAAAATTTATTTCAAATAGTTTATTATCTCCGTAAATAAAAATATTTTAACTAACTTTTTTTTCATTGTTAGTCATTATTTGCCATCAGCAATAATTTCCCAACTTTATGCGTATAGGTTAAAAATTACCCTGTATATACTGTGTGACATAGAAATTGTAGACCCAGTATATCCTTAGCTCTATATACATATACAGGGTGTCCCAGAAATAAGTGCAAGTGTTTTAACTGGTAGTATAGAAACCCAGCTTTTTTCGCGAAAAATTTTTTTTAGAAAATTCAAAATTGTATGAAAAATTTTTTGGATTTTTTTTAGTTTTTAGTTAAAAAACATAATTTCTTGATAATATGGCAACATAGGTATTAGATTAAATTTGCAAGAAAGAAAATCCAGAAAAGATCCAGTGGTTCTCAAAATTTTAGCAAAAAATCATTTTTTTTTGGAAATTTTCAAAGTAAAATAACTCCGTTATTTTGGTCTTATTTGAAAAACGATAAAGAGGATATATGTTACTCTTATCGAGATCTACCACCCCTTAAAATACTTGCACTTATTTCTGGGACACCCTGTATAATATTTTGAAGTGTAGTAAACTATAACATTTATATGAACAAGGTATTAAGATAGTAGGCCTTTAGAGACCGTTACAGCAAAAACAATTTCCCAAAATATTAATAAAATATATTTCCATTTACTGGGTGTTCCAATTTATATGTCACACAGTATAATTATGTTCAAAAGTAATTAAAAGACAAATATTTATTTATATGCTACAAAAAAATAGTTACATTTTAGGGTCCAATGTATTCTTCATGTTAGCTACTCTAGGCCCCATTTTGTCCCTTTCATTTTTCTCCCATCCAACCCAAGAGTCAAACTTATCAGTAGACACATCAGGCAAAAGTAAATTATATATAACTGAAGTATCAAGACCAACCTCAGATCCATGTCGTGTAACACTTACTGCGACAAATTTTTGGGTTTTTCCTTTTAAAAATGGACTAAAAATGAGGTAAGTGAATCAAAATGATATCTAATAACAAAAGATCGAAAAAAAAACGGCGTCAAAGACGGCTGAGGATTGACAATAGATGATAATTTTGGCGAGGTCAAGCCCTGGACGTCATTTCCCTGGCCCATTTTCTTCTTTTTTTTAAGGTGCTTACTGCCAGTTGGTCTATTATTTTTATATTGAGTAAAAATGATTTTTTTTAAAAAAGTAATAATAATAGTAAATAAAAAAACAAACCAATGGTGTAGTATTAAGGCAGCATAGTTCCTCAGCTGAGATCCTATAGATTTATTATCCATAGATATATTAAAAAATGCAAAATAAATATCTGTTGTACTTTCAGCTGTCAGTTCAGAGAGCTTTGATGACAACGAGTGGACTAGAAGTTTATCGTTTTGGTTTTCGATTATAAAATACGTCTTATTCATGGCATCTAAAGCTTGGAAGGCAACATAAAGTTGTTTTAACTGAAAAAAAGTAATTATTTTCCAAAATATGCCATAATATACAGGGTGTCCCAATATTCCGTGGACATAGAACTAGTGATGGGTTGTTATTTCACTATCTGTTATTTTATAACAATTATTTATAAATAACATAACGCAACCGTTACTACTTCTAAAAAATAACAGATATAAAATAACGACACGTAGAGATCGGCCGCTCGCGAAACGAAAAACGAAGTCGGCGCTCTGCACCGCAACGAAATTCTATGCTGCTTGAAGCAATTCCAAAAAACAACTAATATGGATGGAAAACATGTTATTTCGCCAACCATCGATACAGGCGGCGGCGGCGGCGAGACAACGGACAACGGAGTGGGGAAAGCGCTAGGGAGCCTGAAGCGCTACGGCGAACGTAGCTGCTTCGGTCGATACCGTCGATGGTCGTATTGGGTTTGCAGCAGCTTAAAAATAATAGGATATAAAAAAAGCAGGTTTTTTGAAACAGTTGCGGGCATAACGCCTGGCGGTCGAGATAACAGGAGTGGGAAAGGAACGCTGCTGCATCGGTCGATTGTCGATGGAGGCTCGCAACGGGTTGGAGAAGCAATCATTTTAGATATGTTGTTTTTCAACCTGTTACGAGCATAACAGGGCGGCGGTCGAGATAATCGGAGTGGGAAAGGAACGCTGCTGCATCGGTCGATTGTCGATGGAGGTTCGAAACAGGTTAGGAGAATAACGTATCAGTTGTTTTAGATACATTGTTTTTCAACCTGTTACGAGCATAACGGGCGGAGGTCGAGATATTATGGCCGCTGTATGTTTCAGTACTTACTTATTAAGTTTCAATATTTAGGTATTTATTTATTCTGAAAAATTTTCAGAATAATATTTTAAGATTTTTTAAAAATGTATACAGGGTGTTTTGAAAAATCTGATCATTGATTAATCACGATCCTGCTTAAAGCCCTTGACGTAAAAAGCTGATTTTTGGAAAACGGATTGACTTTAGTGTGTAGAGGTTCGATAAGAAGGGATTTTTCGAAACTCGAATTCTAAGGGGATGAAACTACTCTCAAATATTAGAATATTTTTTATTTAAAAACCGGGAATTTTTTGGAAAAACTCTTAAAACACGTATATTTTATTATGTTGTTTTACATATTTTAAGATTTTTTAAAAATATATACACGGTGTTTCATAAAATATGACCATTGAGTCATCACTATTCTGCGTAAACTGCTTGACGTTTAAAGCTGATTTTTGGCAAACGGATTGAGTGTGGGGTTGAGGTTCGATAAGGAGGGGTTTCTCGAATCTCAAATTCCAACAGGGTGAAAACTCCCCTCAAATATTACAATATTTGTTATTTAAAAAACGGTTAGTCTTTCGGGAAAACGCCTGGACACGCATAATTTATTTTGTTTTTTACATATTTCGAAATTTTTTAAAAAATCATACAGGGTGTTCCAAAAAGTTGAGTAATTGATTAACCACGATTCTGCTTAAACTGCTCGACGTTAGAAAGCTTATTTTTGGCAAATGTGAGAAAATTTTATCCAGTTTGTATGTTAATGGAAATTCTTGTTTTGCTTTATCATCACCATTAGAAATTATTAATTCGACGCGAACCAAGTCGCGGGTACACGCTAGTTTAAGTGTAGAATTAATTCGAACTCTAGTGTGTAGTTGGTTTACTTATGAAGAATATACACACATTTTCTTATATTGCTATTTTTTGACCGCAAATGGTAAAATCATAACTAAGAGCTTCTCGCCCGTCGAGTGAGATGCACCCTGTACACTGCTACGCAATTCAGGATCTACGCGGATCGAGGGGCAGGGCGTAGGTAGATCGGAATGTATAGGTATAGACGAGTGGCGGAATTTTGGCTTTTTTATATCGCAATTTGTAAACAGCGCTTATTTGTAAACAACCACCGTTTTTAGAGAGGTATTTTAGATAACAATCCATATTTAGAAATGTTTTGACACCCTGGAAATACTACCACCGAGCACGTCATTGTTGCAACTTGCAACTGCGGTGACAGCCTCATACTCTTTCAGATATTTAGCAGTAAAATAAAGAAACCTGTTATTTTTAAGCTGTTATTTTAAGCTGTTTTTTATCAATAACTATAACAGTTTTAACTGTTATCTAAAAATTTTAACAGTTTTGCCCATCACTACATAAAACTACTACGTATTTTTGAAATCAAAGTAAGTTTATTGAACATAGTTTACCTTTACACAAAAGTGCTTCGTTCGTCCGTTAGAGGGCACCAATCAAAAGTAAACTCGAACGTTAATTAATTTAAAAATTATTATTTTTTTAAGCTTTTTATGAAACTTATTGTCAAATATAATTTGTGATACTAACATAAAACTCCATATTTTCGCTATCTACACTATTAGAGCATAATAGATTTTATGCGCCTCAATAGCTCGATGATAGGCCAAAAACATTTTTTGGAAGTCAGCTTTGAAAAAATATTTTTTTTCTCAAAAAGTATGCGCGGTGGCGTTGTTTACAAGAGACAAAAAATGTACGAAAAGAAAATCGGTCGTCAGTAGAGTTGAAAATTTTTTTTATCCCCACCCCTACATTAAACTTCTGAAGGGTTGGGGGTAGTTTTCATCCCGTATTTTTTCTTAGTTTTTGTAAAAGCCAAATGTTAGAGCACTTAGCAAAAGATAGACACCCAAAATCTCATTCAAATCCGAATAACGGTTGGTGCCCTCTAGCGGACAAACAAAGCACTTTTGTATAGAAGTAAATTGTGTACAATGAACTTTTTGATTTTGAAGAATACTTAGTAGTTCTATATCCACGGAATATTGGGACACTCTGTATATAGCTATATTCTCAAATTACCTACCCTATCAGAATTAAATTCTTCAGAAATTATTTTCGCTGAGAATTTTTCTAAAACTAATCCACTAGGAACAGGAAATGAAAACCAATAATAATAATGATATTTCTTCAAATCCTTAAAAAATTAAAACTAGTAATATAACTAGGTAACAGTAATATAATTTTATATAAAGAAACAAGTTATATACAGGGTGTCCCAGGCTGAGCGCACATTAGAAGTTTCTACAGAACAATAATATCTAGATCGGAGATTTTTTGCACATTACTGTTTCACAACGAAATCTATTGATTAAAAATAATTTCAATATGGCGGCACATCCGGAAATACCGGAGGTTGACAACAACTTTCTTATTTTAAATGAGTACCGCATTTTTTATTACATACTTAAATTCGTAAAATTTTGTGAATTTTGATCTCAAACACTCTATACCTAACATTAAGCGTTTCTGAGAAAAAAAAATATTTAAAATTTTTGGAGGAAAAAAACTTTGCCTGTCAAAAAAATTTGTATAGCCTAAACGTCAAATTTAGCGATTACCACAGCCGCTGACGCATAAAGAAAAGACATGTGGCTATCTACACACACCGGAAAAGTCTAGGGATATTACAATTTTATCCAGCCATCGTCAGTAATTTTATTATTTGCATTTCTGATATAATAAAATTAAAATAAAGAAATAGTTTACAGGGCGTATTGGAAATAAAAATGCGAAATTTACCGAATTTTTCAAATTTACCTTGATTTTTATTGAACTCAAAAAAATACACACATGTTTTTTTTATTCTAAACTGTGAATTAAAAAAAAAGATAAAACCATTTTTACTTAATAAAGGGTATGGCCTCCTCTACTGTTCATTACAGCCATACATAGTCTCCCCATGCTCCTGATCAGGTTGTCGATCTCTTCTTGAGGTACAGTCTGCCACGCTGCATTCACGGCCCGAACCAGATCCCTACGAGTTTCACGAGGCATACTCATTCTCAAAATTCTTCTTTGGACCGCGTCCCATACGTGCTCGATGGGGTTGAGGTCAGGAGATTGTGCCGGCCAGGGTAAGATGTTTAATTGATGAGCATTGATAAACTCACTTACCAATCTGGCTGTATGAGGCCGTGCATTGTCATGCATGAGAATGAAGTTTCTCCCAAAATTATTGGCATATGGTAACACGACAGGCTCAAGAATTAAATCACGATATGTGATTCCTGTTAGAAACCTTTCAAGAAAAACGAGATCGGTTTTTCGGCCTAACTGGACTCCTCCCCAGACCATAAGTGTTCCACCTTGATAAGGGTGCACTTCCTGAATATGATCCAACCGAATAAGATTTCTCGGTTCACTCCATACCCTAAGCCTTCTCGAATCCGGATGAATTCCAAAGCGTGACTCATCCGTGAAGAGAACATTGGCCCATTGTTCATTCGACCACTGAACATGATCTTGAGCCCACAAATATCGTACCTTTCGATTTCCTCTCGTTAAGGGTTGAGCTCTCCAGGGGCGTCTGCTTCTTAAGTTGACCTCTCTTAATCGCGAACAGTGTCAGGACTAACGGTTACATTATGTGTTTCCTGGAGAATTAAACTAAGCTCTGGTGCTGTAAGACTAGGTCGGCGTCGAGCATTTATTGTAAAAAAGATCTTGCTGAGGGGTAGTAATGCGATGTCGCCCTGTGTGCCTTTCAGCAACATTGCCACTTTCACGGTAGCGTGCACTTAATCGCGATATTACACTTTGCGTTGTATTTAATGCTCTAGCTACGTCGATTTGGCGCATTCCAGCTTCGAGCATACCCATGGCCCTTAGCATTTCGTCTCTGTTAAGATGTCTACGCTCCATAATGTCGTTTAATACTAAACAGAGTTATTTGAATGAATTCCGGCCAGTTATCATAAAAACATAGCCAGTACAGGTTAAATTCGAATAATTGATGCTAGGTGCTTTTTATACATTTGACAAAAAATGCACAAACACTTCTGCAAATATCCCAAATTTAGAAATAACTAGTGTGACTACTTCGTTTCAATCGAAGTAGAAAGAATCGGCTTACAAATATGTGGTTGTTTATTCAAAACATTTATTTTTAACTTTAATAAAATGATATCGCTAGATTTTTCCGGTGTGTGTATTTCAAAAATTAAATTGTTCCAATGTCATATTAGTATTGCCCGTAGCTGTCATGGAATTGAGCGATTAAAAATTGATCATAATTCATTTTTTTTAAATGAAAACCCACTTTTTTATTTCACTAGTGAAAAGGTTTTTTAATTCGTTACTTTTTGATTATACATGTTCCTATGCTAAAAATAAATCGTTTTTAAGTTATTTAAGATTTAGTTTTAAAGCGTAATTTTTTCTTGATTTTAGCTAGCTTCCTTTGACATTAAGTGTCAAACCATCAGACAATTTATTTCCTTCTGTCAGGAACTAATTATTTGAATATCGTATATTATAAATACTGCTGGTAAAATTTTATAAAGTGTATTTATAAAAATATATCTCGTATTTTAGTGATAGCTAGTGGCAATATGACATGGCCAGGTATAGTTTTACATCGCGTGACGTTAAAAAAATAAAAAAATATACCTAGTACCCTTTAAAACTAAATCTTAAATAACTTAAAAACGATTTATTTAAACGATCTCGTTGTAAAACAGTAATGTGCAAAAAATTTCCGTATAGATATTATAGTTCTCTAGAAAGTTCTAATGCACGCTCAGCCTGGGACACCCTGTGTATATCCTTTCGTAAATATTTATCATATTATAATAAAATAAAATAAACAAAAAAAACTTAACGGTTCAAGTACCCTTTATAAAAACAATTGAGTAAATTCACTTCTAGCCTGATATCACTGTGTTATCTGTGCTGATATCAAAAATAGGCCATCCATATAATAAAATATCTTTCAGTAAGAAAAATGTAATAAAGAAACTAATACCTACAAGTTAAATTGTGACAATAAACTTTAAATGTTACGCCATACAGAAAACGTATGTGATTTCAAGGATATAACAATTATTTTGGAGATACACACATACAAAACCTGTTAGTTACATTTAACAATGGCACCTTTACAAAAATTTACTTTAAAATTCCTCTTACTGTTAAAACCTTACATAAAAATGTTCAAAAAAAAACACCTAAATGCGATTCTAAATTTCTACGAAAAATAAATTGTTTAATAAAATAAAAGGATAAAATATAACTTGCTTTTACTTGACAAAATGGCGCAGGAATAATATAATTATTGTCCCAAATTTAAATATAAAATTTACAAAAATGTAGCTAGATAGGTATAGCAAATGATGTTAATGTAGTTCATAAATATCGTATAAGTATTTTTATACAACATAAATAAAACATGTCCTGTTAAAAATAAAATGATTATTTTAACATCAATTGTTAATTAAATTTGATTTTTTGATCATTGAACACTAATTTAAAACATTTTAAACCATAATTATGGTATAAATAATTATATTTTTTATATTATTTTAGGTCTATCAATTAAATAAATAATGATTACTTATCATTTAATGTTACTATTTCAAGGTTTTTACACCAATTTATGACCCAAATGCATACTTATGTAAACAGTATTGATTTTCCCTTGTACAAATAGGTACTAAATCTCTAAGCACTAAGCAGACTAAATTTTTATCCTTGCAATGTACTATATACTCTCAAAAAAAAAGAAAACAGTATTAAGGTGCTTAGGTGCTAATACTTAATTATATCTCACATTTGATGTTTAATATATTCCAGTTCTATCAACAATTTAATATTAAAGGGGGCTCATATTATTATATTAATATTAAATAAATAAAAATACCAGGTTCACACAGAGTCAATATTAGCATATTTTTAATACCTATCGTATCAATAATTCACCATCTCATAACCTGTCCATTTAGAACGAAATAAAATGTATTATTTCTTTGTCTATAAAACTCAAAAAACCTGTTAAAAACCTAGTTATAATGCTTTATTATCCTTTTAACCAAATTAATCAGTAATTGAATGGCCTACTAGACTATTCAGAATATTTTGATGGTCCATAAATAAATTTAATGGGCCAATTTTAAATTGTCATATTCCCAAAACAATTTCTATTTAAAAAACAATTGACTTGTGTACTTTCCTAATAAATACAACCTTGAATAATGTGTGTAATGTAGCAATTTTGAGAGCAACTTAAATAAACTACAGAGAAAATGGAAAAACTTACTGCGAATGTTAGAAGTAAAAAGGAATTTAACAAAACAGGGTTTTTAATAGCTTCCCCTGAAACTATATTCTCGCACAAACATTTTCCCTCTGTATTAATCACGTCCTGTTTGTTACATTCTTTGAAATCTTCCACTGTGTTTTTATTGATAACTTTCCCCTTAAAGGGAACGTACATGTTCTGTCCATTAAAATCCCTAAAATATTATTTCAAATACTTTCCAGTTTAAAACAAATATAGTTCGAGTACTTACGAATTAAAAGACGTACTATCCAGCTCAATTAATGGTTGATTTACGGTGGTCTTGGACAAAAGGGTGAAATAGCCCCAGACTGGCCTAGGGGATTCACTCAATTTGTCCACGTTCAGTTTGATCTCGGTCAATTTGTTCCAGAAACTTGGGTTCACCGACGATACGGCTTGAACGTAGGATAATTTCGAAGCCATGCCAACTATTTTTCTTGGGTTTATTTTAAAAACTACATAACAATTCGCGAGCCTGAGCTAATTTACATTTTTATAGGTTAACGACTGTCAATAAATCAGATGTCAGATGACAAACGTAAACAGGATATTCGTTTGTTATGCAACCAGATATTCAAGAAATAGAATTTAAAAAATCATTATTTTTGTTATTTATTTACTTGTTAATAATTAGAAAACGTCAATTATATAAAAATAAATTACTGTTGCTCACTATAGGTAAATGGTTTAAATAATTTTTCTACTGTGGCATTAATAACATTGCAATATTAATATTTTTGGTGGGGTAAGCAGTAGTGGTAAATAACAAATAATTTCCAAGTAATTATTTATTATTTAAATAATAGTGAAAATATACTGTAAAATACAACGAAAAATAATAAAATAATAGTGTAAATGAAATATTGCAAAAATACACTAATGCATAATCAATAATAATAATAATACATCTCAATTTGATAATTTAATTCAGAACCAAAATAAACATTAGCATTAGTTTTTTAAACACTTTTTGTTAAAATAAATAATTTTATGAACTTAAATACTTTAGTGTAATGGGTACAAATTATTATTAGAGTAAACACATTAAATTTATTCACATTTTATTCGAATATTGGCGCTGAAATTAGAATTTTTCACGGTGGGAAATCAACAATAAGCGAATAAAATAAATTTTGATATCGAATTCCTTCCATCACTTACTTAACATTGAAAATCGTAGAGAGCTGGCCCACAGAGACTATCAATACTACTTTCTCATGTTTAAAGCAACCATGCGATGCGGGCAGCGCGACCAATAAGATCAAAGTTCGCGTTACACCATCCCAAGTTTATCTAACAGAATTTGTCCTTAGGTAAATATTTTGACAGTGATAATAGAAAGATATAAATAGAAACGTGTATTTTACGTTGTGTTATTTCGTTTTAGATCAATATTTCTCAAAATATTAATAAAATAGTATTAAAGAAACTGTGAAAAGGTCTCGAAGTTTTACAGTGTTGCGCGGACTGGTTTAGTTCAGACGTTTGTCGCCAGGGGACCAGTGTAAATATTTGGCATTCTTCGCATTCCGAACTTGCAGGTTCGAGTAAAATGTCAAATTCTTTTCTCAAGTTTACTGTTTAGTGCGGTACGGTCTGGAAAAAAGTACAATTCGACGGTACCGTCGATAATTCGGTAGTTTTTTTGGTGAAATTAGTGCTTCCCTGCGCAGGAAAATCACCCCTATAGATACAGAAAGGGTAAGTACACAAGGCACGTGACGTTTTGTTTGTATTGATTTTCAAGGGGGTGGGAATATACGAATATACCCCCGGTCTTATCGACTTTATTTTTCTGTTTTTCACGTGCGGTGGAGTTGTGGGAGCTGGTCTGGTGCTTTCGGGGTAATTTCCATATTTTTTTATATTAAAATTCTTGCTTTTTTTACTACCTATCTATATCCGCTTGCGAGAAAGATAAAAAAAGAAAGTGTAACTGCCGCATTGTTTTCTATACACAATGTATACGTTATAGTGTTTTAGTTGTGCAATTTCTAGTGACCTACAAATTCTTTTTTCGTGTTGTCAATTGTTCGGAAAAGAATTCCAAATATTCTTTCAATTCGGGTCGTCAGCAACACAGCAGAAATTACATTACTCCGATTTGTACCTTTACAATTAGAGATTGCATGAAAGTGTACATGAAATTCCATAGTTTTCTCTCTAGAAATGAATGATTTGCGGTTTAGATTAATTTAAATTTCTAAAATCCATCCACGATTTTTTTAAATTTACTTTTTCTACATTAACTGACTGTTTGCGTTGATTAATAATAATTGCCCCAAATACTAAAAAACTGAGTTTTGTATGTGCATTAGACAGTGTGGTAAAAAGTAACACCTTAAAAATGATATTTCATTTTTTAATAAATGCTTATTTATAACAACAGACGTTCATTTTGATAACTTATTATTATATTATTATATTGATTTATTATTGATTGACAAATGGGCTACTAATATTATCGTTTTACTAAAAACGATAATATTACTAGCCTGTACATTTTGTACATTTGTTGTTTTAAAAACAATCTAAAATGTCAATATTCCATGGATATATTGATAAATGAGGTCTAAATTATAAGAAAATGCATTTTCTACGAAAACTTGAAGGGATAGCTAAAAAGTGGTATAATACAATTTGATAGACAATTAAATTGTGCATCTGATTCCCATAAAATATACAGGGTATTCCATTTAAATTAACAAGTTATTGCCGTTTAAAGCTAGTAATTATTTAAAATAAATTTTTAGACACTCTGTATAAGGTAGTATAATTTTTATTATTGTAACACAATAACTGATCAATAAATAAACTCTAGTAAATATTTAGTATTAAAAACTTTGATACCCTCGGAGAAATGAAGCCTTAAAATTTATACTGCAATTTCACAAAATTGAAAATATTTCAAAAACGGTAAGGTTTAAGTATAATAAACCTTAATCAAATTTACCTTTATTTTAATCGTAGAAACTAAAAATGTAATAATATACAGGGTGTTCCATTTAAAAAAATACAACTTTGATATTTTTTACTTATTTGGTACACTCTGTATCTTGTAAAATTATTTTTAAATTGTACCTTTAATAGTCCTTCATCGAACCCAAAACTTACAATTTGTAAAAATATAATCGTTTAGCTACAATACTCCGTGTCGTATGTGGTGAACAACCCTGTATAATTTATATACAAAAATATGAATGCTCCAGAGAATTTTAATTTTTAATTTTATTTGCGACTATTTTGAATAACTCTGTAGCACACAATATTTTTTTTTGTAAAATTATATCAAAGAAATAAAAAAAATATGAGTTAAAATTATGAATTTATCATAAAAAGAAAATAACATATTTTTGAACTTCATGTTTCTTTTTTGAATTGCATGCTCTCTAGTATGATGAATATTTGAGTTATATATTTATATAAAATAAAATAAACAGACATATATATTTTTTGACGTAGTTTCGGCACATAAAAATATGTTTACAGTCTGTATTTTGTAAACGTAAATATTTCGAACAACTCAGAAATTTATGAAACATCTGTCCGAACACATGTCTTCGAAATATTCTTAAGGCATCTGTTCATTATCTCCAAAATTGCCTTCCTTTCTCTACAGCCCTCTTTTTAAGTATGCCTCTCTGGAATTTTAGGTCCTTTTTTAAATTTTCTCATCGTAAACATAAATATATTTTATTTGACTAGGTTTAACTAGGTTAGTTATTAAGTTGTATTTTAAAAAAATGTCTATACCTATGTGGCGGATTCATCTATCCAAAAAAATCCTTATGGGTTTTTCGCCACTGCACTGCAAGAAAAATCTACAAAATAAAATAGTTATTTTTTGTAAACACTTCTGCGTTAAACCTAAACGGACGCTGCTTGTCAGAAGTTGTGTTTACAGTAATAAAAATTTTCCTAACAAAAAAAAATGCTTAACGTTTCGGAAAGTTTTCTCTTTCCGTCGTCGGAAGCAAAAAAAAAATAAAGAATCAAGAAAAAAACTATTTAAAATATTTAAATTGAACTATTCGAGAACACTTTACTTTTTAAAACAGATACGTCTACAAGAAATTGTTGACGTTCTGTTAAAATGACATTATATTAAGTTAAACTTCAAACTTTCTGTATGATTATTTTTAAATTTCACGTTATGTTTATTTATGTAATGTTCTTTAAAATCAAAGAAGCGATTGCCATACATTACTAACATCTACAGATGCATGAGCAATACATTTATTTTTATTAGATTGAATTAAAAAGCCTCTTTTATTTTTCTTTTAGAGGCTATCGCTTCTTTCATTATAATTTTGGCGTTATTAAAATTTATTCTGTGCCCTGTGTCCCATGAATGCTGACAAATCTTAGATTTGTGAAAATCTCCCTTTCTTAAATAATCTTTATGTTCTTTAATTCTAACATTTAAGGGTCTAGATGTTTCACCAATGTAAAATTTATCGCATTCACAGGGTATTTGGTATATTACATTTTTTGTTTGTTCTGTATTCATTGGTTTAGTATGTGATAAAATTGATCTAAGTGTATTTTGTGTTTTGAAAGATGTTTGTATGTTATATTGTTTTCCTATCCTTCTTATTTTTTCCGAAACGCCTCGTATGTATGGAATTTTAAGTTGTATATATTGTGTATTGTTATCTTTGTGTCTATGATTTGTGGGGTTTGTATTTCGTTTAATGTTTTGTCAATAAAATATGGTGGATAGTCGTTTTTTATTAATGTATTTTTTATGTGGTTTATATCTTTGTTTAGTGAAATGTCGTCTGTACATATTATTTTTGCCCTATCATATAAACTTTTTATAACACTTTTTTTTACACTTATACTGTGATTAGATGTGAAATTTAAGTATCTATCTGTGTTTGTGGGTTTTCTGTAAATATCTAAAATTAGTTTATTTTGAAATTTTGACACTAAAACATCAAGAAATGGCAAACGATTACCTCTCTCTACTTCTAAAGTAAATTTTATGGTAGGTTCGCGAGAATTTATATATTCCAAAAAAATGTCTATTTCAGAAACGTTATGTTGCCATATTGCAAAAATATCATCAACATAACGCAGCTCTATTACAGGCTTTTTTGAAAAACTATTTATTGTATTATTTTCAAAATCTTCCATAAAAATATTACTTAACAAAGGAGAGAGAGGTGATCCCATTGCCATACCGAAATCTTGTTGAAAAATTCATTATTTGATTGGAAATAAGTAGTTTTAACACGAAGTGTCAACAATTCCAAAATACTATCTATGTTTAATTTTGTTCTATCTATTAAATGTGTATCTTGTTCTAATCTATCCCTAACTATTTTAAGTGATTTATCTACCGGCACATTAGTGAAAAGACTAACAACGTCAAAACTAACCATTAAACTGTTAGGTGTTATATTAATTTTTGAATTTTTTTCTATAAAGTGTGGTGTGTTTTTAATGTATGAATCGGTGTTATTTGCAATCGGATTTAATATGTCTAGTAAAAATTTTGCTAACGGATGGCATGGAGAATTTATACTACTCATACTGACTATAGGTCTAAAAGGCATACCCTGTTTGTGTATTTTCGGTAAACCGTGTAAATGAGGTGGTTTACTGTAATGGGGTGTTAATAATGTTCGTTGTAAGTCTGTTAATATATGTTTGTATTTGTATAAAGTTCTGTATATTTTTCTTTCAATAGTTGGTGTTGGGTCTTTTGAAAGTTTTGTGTAACTACCGTTATTTATAAGATCTGTAATTTTGTTATTATATTCGTCTAAATCTATAACTACTATAGCATTACATTAACTACTGTATTCATTCATGGGACACAGGGCACAGAATAAATTTTAATAACGCCAAAATTATAATGAAAGAAGCGATAGCCTCTAAAAGAAAAATAAAAGAGGCTTTTTTAATTCAATCTAATAAAAATAAATGTATTGCTCATGCATCTGTAGATGTTAGTAATGTATGGCAATCGCTTCTTTGATTTTAAAGAACATTACATAAATAAACATAACATACGTGAAATTTAAAAATAATCATACAGAAAGTTTGGGTTTTTTGGTTTTACCTTATTAAGTAATTATCAGGTAGTAATTGTTAATTTTGAAGTTTAACTTAATATAATGTCATTTTAACAGAACGTCAACGATTTCTTGTAGACGTATCTGTTTTAAAAAGTAAAGTGTTCTCGAATAGTTCAATTTAAATATTTTAAATACTTTTTTTTTATATATATTTTTTTTGCTTCCGACGACGGAAAGAGAAAACTTTCCGAAACGTTAAGCATTTTTTTCTTTGTTAGGCAAATTTTTATTACTGTAAACACAACTTCTGACAAGCAGCGTCCGTTTAGGTTTAACGCCAGAAGTGTTTACAAAAAATAACTATTTTATTTTGTAGATTTTTCTTGCAGTGCAGTGGCGAAAAACCCATAAGGATTTTTTTGGATAAGTTATATTTTGTTATGACGATTTTTTGAGTATTTTTATGAGGCAATATTTTTTTATTTTGTTTTCCCATATGTATGAAAAATGAGACTTTCTTAGTTTCCCTAATATCACTGTAATCACAAAACTTCAATACATTTCCGTATTGTAACAGAATTTTAAATTATGTCTTTGTTTTCGAGAAAATTTAGTCCAAACATAAGGAATATTTTGTTGATGTTTGACCATCAAAATCTTAAAAACAAAGAAGTT